TAAATGGAGAGGGGGAAGATAAAAGAGGTAACACTGATCAAGATGCTCTAGACTCATTAATGGATGCATTATTTTTAATAATATTTTTAATTTTTTTAATAAAAATATATAAATAAAAAAGAAAGAAAAAAAGGACAAATATGACCTCTGAACACGAAACCCATTTGTATGAGTTGAAGGAAATAAAAAGATGTCAATTTAACTTTTAAAAGTATAACACCCTAAATGAATCATAAAACACACTATCAATTAGTTAAAAACTTATAAACAGCAAAAATTAAATAAGATGATTTAAATTTAAAAACAAAACAGAGAAAGCATCAAGCGGGACACTTACTGTGGATATACAAAAGCAAACCCTATCCACACACTAAAACATCACCACGAGCTCCTTTATAGTTTTCCTTTATTTGTATGTATAGTTGAAGAGGCAGATTTTTACATGATCACTTCAAATCAGCCATTGTATACCAACCAAATTTTACACAAGCCATTTGGAAAAAAAAACAAACAAACTAAAAATGTGCTTAGTTATTGGTATTATATAACCTAGATCCAGCACCAAGGTAGGACTTAGTGCTCCCAAGGAATCGTAGAAAAGCCTCTGCTTCCAAGCACCTGCTATCCTGTAGGCCTACACATGCAGTCTGGTCCAGTCTCAACTCATGTTCCTAAGGCATCAAAGGGCCGAGTGATGCATTTCTCCTAGCTACTAAACAATAGCTAATTCCCTTCTCCCTGGAGGACACCAATTATTCCATTATTCCTGTCTTTGCTGCCTTTAAATGCACATTTCCACTTACAAGTAGAGATGCTGGTTTGGGTGTTCACTCCATTCACCACAAGATTCTTGCAGGTTGATGTTATAAAAGGAAGCATGTTGAAGGTCAACATGTACACATTTTAATACAGATAAATGGAATCATTCACTGTTGCCAGAGGATTGGGTGGGTGGGTGGGTGGGTGGAGAGTGGTTGTTTAAAGACTCAAAAAAGCAAACAAACAAGTAGGTGCTACCATAAACAAAGCAACTGGCTACCTGGGTTCTGATGAGGGGGGGGGAGGGGGGAAACGGCGTGGATAGTTGGAACAGGGATTTCAGCAATTTCCCTCAACCCACCTCGCAGGGACCAGCCGTGTAGCAATGTGCTGGAAGACACCCAGAAATGAAGGACGCCATCATGGTTCACTGTAGCATTAGTCTTTTAACAGAGGGGCGACGTGCACGAAATGTCTGAAATATGTGAACTGGAAAGATGGCTGCTTATTGTGTTTTGAGTTTTGTTTCTCTATGATGTTGTATTCCACATAAATTCAGACTGGTAAACAGGATGAAATGATTCATCTGATTTTAAAACAAACAAAAAAAAACTCTCCAGTAATAATGTTGGCTTTTTTTTTCTATCCTAGGGTTTGAACTCAGACCCTGGGCACTTGTCCCTGAGCTTCTTTTATTCAAGGCTAGCACTCTACTTGAGACACTGCTCCATTTCTGGCTTTTTTTTTTTTTTGCGGGGGGGGGGGGGGTGCTTAATTGGAGGTAAGAGTCTCAGGACTTTCCTGCCCGGGCTGACTTTTGACCTGTGATCCTCAGCTCTCAGCTCCCCGGGCAACTATGATGACAGGCGTGAGCCACCGCCACTGGCTTGAGTTTGCTTTTTGTTTGTTGAAATGCAAGAGAAAAAGAAAATGAAATCAAATTTGATCCATTGTCCGTATTAGACACAGAAATAGGAAAATCTTTTTGTATGGAAACAGAGAGAAAAAAACAGGAAGGAAGGAAGGAAGGAAAGAAGGAAGGAAGGAAGGAAGGAAGGAAGGAAGGAAGGAAGGAAGGAAGGAAGGAAGGAAGGAAGGAAGGAAGGAAGGAAGGGAAAGAGACAGATGGTTCCTCCTCCTCAGCCAGCTCCTCTCTGCAGACCGATCGGCAGGGTGATCTGTTACCAGGCCTGATGCCTACGGTCCATAATAACAACACTAGTGTGATGTTCAAGTACCTAAGACTGAATTGCTCTTGTGACCCCTCCTGGGAATGAAAAAGGTAGAAGAAAATTCTAGAGTCCTTTCACTGCCATGTTTGATTGGTATATCCAAGAACACACACACACACACACACACACACACATGGGCACACGGGCACACGGCCCAGGTCAGGCCTGTCAGAAACCAGGCTCACCTGAGGACAGTGGGAAAGTGCTTTGATTCAGCCCCTGTGATCTCACTCTGAAGGAAAGGATGGTAAGATTCCAACATGTTCTAGAATCTTCCTGTGGAAGGGGCGGGGGCGGAGAGGAGGGAAGGACAGCAACACCCAAGGCTGGCATCTGGCATCTTCTCTGAGGTGCAAGAGAAAAGCTTAAAGTGCTCAGTCCAAAGATGGAGCACTGAAAGACTCCAATTCTATCCACATGCAAAAATATAGAAACTTGAAGCTTCTTTTTTCAATTATAAATGGTCTTCACTGAGAACTCCATTTCTATCACCTAGTTGAAAATCCACACTTAAACCTGACAACAGAAATAGCATAGGGACCTCTAAAAAAAAACCAAGGTGTGTGTGTGTGTGTGTGTGTGTGTGTGTGTGTGTCTGTATGTATGTGTGGACTGGGGCTTGAACTCTGGGTCTGGGCTCTGTCTGTCCCTGAACATTTTCTGCTCAAGGCTGGGACTCTACCACTTGAGCCACACTTCTGGCTCTATTTTTTTTTCCTTTTTTTGGTGATTAATTGGAGATCAGAATCTCATGGCCTTTTCTGCCCAAGGTTTGAAACCTTGATCCTCAGATCTCAATCTCCTAAATTGCTGGGATTACAGGTGTGAGCTGCCAGCGCCCAGCCAAACCAACATTCTTTAAAGCTTAGAGTTGTTCCTGTCACAAAATACTCTGACACACTCTTCCTCTTTAATAGGGAGCAAGAAAATGAGACCCCGCCAGCTAAGCAGTATTTGGAATTGCTTAGCATGGATGTTAGACTCCTATTTAAATTAAAAAAAAAAAAATCAAGATGCTTCCCAAATTCCACCAGCTGGAATTCATCTGAACTTCTAGAGCGAATGCTCTAGATTGATGTTGGCCCTGCCTTGTTACCACGCGAAATCTATGGTTGTGGTCTTTTGTGGTCAGTCTCTTTTATTTCCCAACCCCCCCAACCCCAACCTGTTGCCAGACATGAGCAGCAGATGTTGACATGGATTCTTGCAGACCAGTGTTTATCAAAGCACCATTAGGCAGGCAAAGCCAATCAAGCTCCGAGGCTAGTCCCACATCTCCTTCCTTAGCTAGATGCCAGTTCCTTAACACACAAGACCACAAACAAAAAAGTTGATATTTACTTAGACATAGCAATAGATAGATGGTTAAATAGATAGTAATATATATATATATATATATATTTTTGGCACTGCTGACAATTGTTCAACACTCTGTAGTGTGGTGGTGAATTGAGAAGATCCTGCCTTTGTCAAAATTATTACAACAAGCTTTCAAATATGTTTTGAAGCCATTGGGAAAAGATGGCTTAAAATGAAAATGGACAGGAGCCACAGTTTCGAGTCAGGTCAGAGTTCCACCGCCCTTCTCTGTTCTTCAAGGCACAATGTTGAGTTCCAGAGTGTCTGGTGCCACCAGGAGACAGAAGGAAAAAATAATGATAATCGAGGCGTGGGGTCCAGGTCCCCTGTGTGGGGGACCCCAGAATTCACATCTGAGCTGACCCACAGCAGCAGGTCGACTTTCACACAGCCTAAGCTGGGCGACAGGAAAGTCTCCAAATTTCAATACCTGGTCTTATGAAACAGAAAAACAAAACAAAACAAAACGAAATAAATAAACCACACTCACCCCTTGCCTGTCAGGGTGGCCCTGTTAGTTTCTACCCTGGGCAAAGATGGAGATCCAGAATATTCCCAGGGCGATCTGCCATGACAGGGGGGCAAGAGGGGCCAGGAGCCCTGATCCCAGGCCTCCTGGGAGTCAGAGCTTTAAGGAAAACAGAGCCCCAACCCTTCCCCCTCCCCCCAGCTCTCCTTGCCTTCAGTCCCACTAAGGTGGGGCTCTTGGGTGCCTCCAGTACCACGTATTTGGCACTGGAAAGCATTGTCAGAATGGAAAGAACCTAATCCATCCTATTTTTTTTTTTTTTTGCTTAAGAATATGTAATTTTTTAAAACATTCTTTTGGTAAGAAAGACACATATATACATATATATATATATATGTATATATGTATATTGCACTTCCACCCAAAAAATGTATCTGAGCTTCTTTAAGTCTAAGCTGACAGGTGGGTGGGTTTCTCTCTAGAATATAATGGTTCTAGAGTCACCTTGAGCCTCTGAGTTCAGTTTCTCTGCCCACAAACCATAGCTTTGGGGCAGGGTGTGCACACGGGGCGGGGGCAAGGGGGGGGTCCACACGGGATGAGGGTGTGTCCACACGGGGCAGGGGTGGGAACACAGGGTGGGATGTGCACATGGGGGTGTGCACACGGTAGGGGGGTGCACCCGGGGCTGCGGTATGCACACAGGGCAAGGTGTGCGCGTGGAGCGGGGGTGTGCACACAGGGCGGGGGTGTGCACACGGGGCGGGGGGTGTGCACACGGTGGGGGTGTGCATGTGGAGCGGAGGTGTGCACACAGGGCGGAGGTGTGCACATGGTGGGGGTGTGCATGTGGAGCGGAGGTGTGCACACAGGGTGGAGGTGTGCACACACGGTAGGGGTGTGCACACATGGCGGGGGTGTGCACACGGGGCGGGGGGTGTGCACACGGGGCGGGGGTGTGCACACGGGGCGGGGGTGTGCACACGGTGGGGGTGTGCGCGTGGAGCGGGGGTGTGCACACAGGGCGGGGTGTGCACACGGTGGGGGTGTGCATGTGGAGCGGAGGTGTGCACACAGGGCGGAGGTGTGCACACACGGTAGGGGTGTGCACACATGGCGGGGGTGTGCACACGGGGCGGGGGTGTGCACACACAGTGGGAGTGTGTTCACATGGGCCGGGCTCAGGACTTCATCGTGCAGATGGGCACAACGATGACCAGCACCACGGTGCAGGCGGCGGCCGCGATGAGGGCAGCAATCTTGCACACCTTGGCGCGTCGGAACTCAGCTTCCTTCCGCTTCAGTAATGAGTCGTAGCCTGGGGTGTAGATGTCCTCCATCCAATATTCCAGGTTGTTTGGATTTAACGACTCTTGGGTCTACGAAGAAATAAAAATCCAAAAGAAAAGAGCAAAGCGAAGATGTCAGAGAGGCAAGGCAAAGGCCAGGACCAAGAGGACTGCGCCCCTGGGCTGGGGCTGCAGAGCGGCGGCCCCACGGCACAGGAAGAGGAGCAGTTATGGAGAACACACTTCCCCATGGACTCCAAGAGCAGGACTGGACTGGCGGCAGCAGGGCCATGGGGACCGCCCCTCTCCCTGCCCAGGCCACCCTCTCCCGTGAGAGAAGTGTCTGCTGAACACCGAATATGCATGGAGATGAGCACGAGCTTCAGCCCAGCTGAACTCCTAGCCACTCAGGAGGCTGAGAGCTGAGGACTGCGGTTCAAGGCTCGCCTGGGCAGAAAAACCAGAAGTGGTGCTGTGGCTCAAGCCGTAAAGCACTAGCCTTGAACAAAAGAAGCTTAGGGACAGTGCCCAGGCCCCAAATTCAAATCCCATGACAGACAAAAAGAAAAAAATATATATTTTTCCACAGCTTTGTGTGAGCAGGTCAGATCACGGCTCAAAGTCAAGGTCTTACTGGCATATGGCAGACTTGACCCCAACCCGGGCCAATCACAGCCACGATTCTGATTTGGCACCTCCTTCTCCAAGGAGACAGTCTCTTCTCACAGAGATGAATTCACTGTCTGTCAGAGAAATAGCATATTTAACTCACACAGTCCATGAATCCCAGTCTGTGCTGATGGTTCTATAATCTATTTTCACGAAGATGGTGTTCTTGCTTTATGGCAAATGTTTAATAATCTGTCACATAAAAAGCAATAGCTCCCTGCAATTCCAAGGGAAGACGACAACATCCAAAACATAAACCAAATGTTCACATGGGAGGTTTTTCTTGGATTGTTTAATGTCCACAAACACAAGAGTGTTAAATGTCTCATACACCGAGAGGACCAAGAAACAGACTCTAGCTGGACATGATGTCTGAAGCTGGCAATCCTAGTTACCAGGGAGGCACAAAGGCTGGAGGAGAACAGCTTGAGGCCAGTTTGAGCCCCAAAAAGTTTGCATGACTCCATCTCAATCAATGGACTGGAGCAGTGGCGCCTACCAGTTACCCCAGCTATAGGGAAAACAACAACAGCTGGGCATCGTAGGGTAGTCCTGCCATCCACAATGACACAGAGAAGCACAAATAGGAGGGCTGTCCGATACAGTCAGGGCACAAAAACAAGGCTATTTTTGAAAGAACCAAAAACGGAGCTGGAGGCATGACTTACACAGCAGAGTGCCTGCAAGACAAGTGCAAGGCCCTGAGTTCAAAGCCCAGGACCATCAAAACACAATAAAGCAAACCCTCTAACTTCAACCCAGATGCCACTAGCTCGCACCTGTCATCCTAGCTACTCCGGAGGCTGAGTTCTGAGGATCACGGTTCAAAGCCAGCCCTGGCAGTTAAGTTCAGAAGACACCAATTTCCAATGAAGCACCCAAGACCCAGCAGTCAAGGTGTGGCTCAGGTAGTAGAGTGTCCATCTTCAGCAGAAAAAGCTAAGGGATGGTGCCCAAGGCCCTGAGTTCAAACACTAGTACTGGTACAAATAATAATAGCATTAATAACAGTAACCTCAACTGTATTATGTTTTCTAATCTGGACCAGTAATTTTCCACCTGCCTATCTAGATCTGTTTTTGTCCCATGTGTGCACAGCTTCTGCACACATGCACACACACATATATGCACACACACACATATGCACACACAAATACACAATGTCCATGTAAAACTGCACATGCATCAGGCACACCCACAACACATACGGACTGCACAGACATGGACAAGCACACATACACCAAGGCACACATGTGTGCACACACACATACACACGTGCATGTATACAAATACCATATACATATAGACTACATGGGCATACAGAAACACAATGCACAGAAAGGCACACACTCACACACCTGCATACATGCACACACAAATGTATACCCACAACATGTACATGGACTACAGATGCATGTGTGGACATGTGTATGCACACTGGCACACGATCATACATGTAGGCTGCACGCGCATGTGGGTACATGCAAACTTGCATAGACGTACACATGTGTGTATGTGTATATGCATGTGCATACCCACATACCTCAAATGACATATTTTGCATGCATATGCATAAACACATGCACACATGTGTATACACATGCCCTCACACACAAATGCACTGATATGCACAAATATATGTTTCTGCGAACATAATTATATATGCACAAGGCATGCATGCAAGTGTATACATATACACAATCCACACACAAAGCCACACATTTTGCACACATGCATAGACACGCGTGTACTCACATGTGTGTGCACATGAACTCACACAAATGCATGCGTAGAATGCATGCACCTGTACACAAGCCCACATACACTTGTGCATGCACACACACTCATGTGTGCAGTGAGCCCCTCCATGTTGCTGCTGGGCCCTCCTCGGTGGGAAAGACCTTTAGTGGTTAAACACTTGGTAAGGAAGGGAGGAACTCAAGATGGGCCTGATTGGCTGAAAGACTAGTCTGGGGCAGGGGTGGGGGGGCATGTTGCACCCACAAAGAGTGGGCTGGGCCCATGGGCCTCCCCACAGCCTGAGCCTTGAAGGCAGGTTGGGGCAATTCTGCAGGAATGCTCTTCTCTCTGTGGCCCAGGCCCACGGTGTGTGGAGACTTTGTGCCTCATTCCCTGGCTCAGCTAAGGGGGAATCAAATGCTTTGCATGTCTACTCTCTGCATGGAGCTGGCCTGGGGAAGAAACAAATTTTTCATTAGGTTTTTTTTTTTCTCAATAACTGCAATCTCTCATAGCACAGAGGTAATAGTGAGATTTCCAGGGACCCCTGTGAACATTAAGCCTTCCAAAATACCTAGGATAAAACCAGGCCTAGGCCTATGATGCCAGTTTCCTGTGGACTTGGCTAGGGTGAACTGCGACACGAAAGGACCCACAGAAGAGCCTGCAGAGGCCAGGAGCGAACTGACACGAGACCTGGAAACACAATGGAAACACGTGAGGCCTTCCAGCCTCCACGCTTCTGCTCTGCCCCCAACACCCGTGGACTGCAGTGAACTCGAGTTCCTCCAGACTCTGCCCTTCACGCCATGGGTCCCTAAAGCTGCAATGCACAAATATCTCCTTTTTCTTCATTGTATGTCTGTATTATTTGGCTCTGTGCTTATACACATTGCACTCTGATCGCTCAGATTTCAAGAGGCAAAAATCCCCAGAACTTCCCTCCCTTCTCCCTGAACTTTGCCCTCACTGAAGGTCATTTTCTGTGGTCCCCAAGAAGTGTTTGTCATTCTGCTGTGCCTTCGGATGTTTTCTGGCTGGTGACTGGCCATGGTCTCATAGCCACAGCTTGTGGCGTGGTACTTGGCGTGCAGGTGCTTGGTGGGCTGGGGTAGGGGTATCCGAGGGAGACTCAACTCTTTGTCCAGCCTGCAGGAAAGCGAGGGAAAGGCATGGGACAGAAGGACACTGTTCTGTGCCACCTGGGGACACAATGTGTGCAATAAGAGCCAGAAGTCAGGTGCCGGCAGCTCCTGCCTGTCATCCCAGAGATTCAAGAGGCGGTTCAAAACCAGCCCAGCAGGAAAGCCTGTGAGACTCTGATCTCCAATGAACAACCAGAAAACTGGAAGTGGAGCTATTGCTCAAATGGTGGGGTGCCAGCCTTGAGCAAAAGAACTCAGGGACAGTGCCCAGGCCCTGAGTTCAAGCCCCATGACTGGTACATACACACAAAAAGATGACCAGCAAATATCTACTTCACATCAAATGCTACTAAGTTCAACACTGAAGGTCCATCTCCCAGGCGAAGGAACTGGCATTAGAGCAGGATCAGGAACAGCTCTAATCTCTCAGAGGCCTGGATTCTACTCTAGGACTATCGGAACCCCAACTCTCCCCAGCACCTCACAAGCCCTCTGCTTCCCAGGGAGGGTGTGACAATGTAAACTGAGTCACACTGGAGGCAGCCCTAGATATCCGTGCTTCGGGCTTACGGGCATTCTAGAAGGGCCTGGAATGGCACTGCCCTTGCCTTCCTGACCACAGGTGAGAGCAGGCTTCTGATGATAAAGACACACAAAGATGTCCAGCGAGTGGAACTGGGTCTTGAGGCCCAAGCCCCAAAGCGCAGCTACAACCCAGACCTCTGTAAATCAATGATGACAGTGGCAATGGGCAGGCCTCACAGCCACAGCACCATCCCAGAGATCTTTCTAGACCTGCTTTTCCCCCAGGCCACCCCAGACCCATGCTCCACACACCCTGCATGGCACCCAATCCTTATACTCAAGTTTTATGGGCAAAAGATTTGTAATCTAAGCTGGGAGCCACTGGCCACGCCTCTTATCCTAGCTACTCAGGAGGCTGAGATCTGAGGATCCAGGTTTGAGACCAGACAGGGTGGGAAAGTTTGTGAGGCTCCAGTGAACCAGCAGAAAACCAGAAGTGGAGCTGTGGCTCACCTTGAGAGAAAAAGCTAAGGGACAGCGCCCAGGTCCTGAGTTCAAGCCCTACAAAAATAGATAAATAAAAAAAACCACACAAGCCCCTTGCTAAAGGCAGGGTGACTCTAAGCCATCCTCAAGACATTCCTATGCATCAGCTGGCTGGCTCAGCCGGTCCCTCCATCCCCCCCAACCCAGCCCAGGGCCCAGGTCTCACAGGGCTCACCTGCAGGTCCAAGGCTGCCAGCTTGCCCTTGTCGCCAGCATTCCGAGCGTACTCCTCGAGGGTCCAGGACGGCTGGCCCCGCTTCACCTCAGCCAGCTCGGTCAGACGCATGTCTGTGTACAGCGGGTTGTTCTTCAGGTGGGCCTTGAGCGAGGCCGGGTAGGGGTGAGGGCTGAATACCTGCTCCACCAGGAAGCTGTCCTTGGGCTGTTTGGGCAGTCGGTGCTGTGGAGGGATGTCATACTGTCTGTCTGCCTGCAGAAGGGCATAGAAAATTCCAGAAGGGCCACACAGAGGCAACTGGGGCTCATAGTATTGGGGCTCATAGTATTAAGTTGGGAAGTAACTACTTTCTTTCTCTCTCTCTTTTTTTTTTTTTGCCAGTCCTCGGGCTTGAACTCAGGGCCTGGGCGCTGTGTCTGAGTTCTTCTGCTCAAGGCTAGTGTTCTACCACTTTGAGCCACAGCTTCACTTCCAGCTTTTGGGGGGTGGTTCATTGGAGATAAGAGGCACATGGACTTTCCTGCCCAGGCTGGCTTTGAACCACAATCCTTGGATCTTGGCTTCCTGAGTAGCTGGGATTGTAGGCGTGAGCACTGGCGCCTGAAACATCCTTTGGGCCTAGTCTCCAGGTGTTCTCCCTTTTGACCAGTCTCCCTCCTCTGGCTTGGAGCACCCCAAGTGGAATCTCCCACAGCGAGGTCACCCCCTCTGGGAAGTCCAGTTCTTGGAGGCCCTGGGTGGGGATGGGGTGGGTCCTGAGGGATGGACAGAGCCCCACACCCCACACTGAAAGGTCTGCTGGGTTCTGTGTAGAGAACATGGTGCCATCACTGGCTCCTGAAAGCTGTGTGCCCTCTACCCCCATGCCACCCCTGGGGACCACAGCATGCCCAGCCTGCAGGACTGGTGGGTGAGGCCAGGAATGACTGTCCAGAGCAGCTCACGCCATGCTGAACTGACAGCTGCTGTGTCTCCTCCATGGGCTGATGATTTGCTTCTTAATTCATCTTCTTTTCTTACCATTTACTTACCTTAGAATGCAAAAAACCAAAACAAACCAAAAAAAAAAAAAAAAAACACTTCATGCTTTTAAAGGAACAGGAGGGCATGGGTAGCTTAGCCTGTCATCCCAGCTACTCAGGGGGCTGAGATCTGAGGATCACGGTTCAAGGCCAGCCTGGGCAGGAAAGTCTGTGAGACTCTCATCTCCAGTGAACCACCAGAAAACCGGAAGTGGAGCTGTGGCTCAAGTGGTAGAGCGCTAGTCTTGAGTGAATAAGCCAAGCAAGAGCTCAAGGTCCTGAGTTCAAGGCCCAGTAGCAACACACACACACACACACACACACACACACACACAGGAGAGGAAGAATAAAAAAGATGGCAAAGGAAGAGGTAGAGGGGAAGATTGGGGAAGGTAGGAGAGAAGAGGACAGGAAGGGAGAGGAGGAGAGTTAAGAAAGGGAGGGAAAGAAGGGAACGAAGGGAAGGGAGAAGAAAGAAGGAGATGGGAGAGGGCCATGTGGACTGGCCACTGTGGCCAGCCGGCTGTGTGGTCAGTACACCGCACCCAGCCTGCCCCACCGGCTGGGGGTCTCTCTCCTGCCTGCCTTCCACCATGGACTCTGAAGCAGCGCAGGCGATTGGCCGGGCCGGTGGCCAATCAGCGAGGGCGGGACACACGGAGCCCAATCACCTTTTTGTCCTCGCCGGGGCCTGCGTCCTGCAGCTCGCCGGCGCCGGGGCGGCCGGCGTAGGCGATGGTGCGCCAGTCCCGGGGCGAGTTGGCGATGCTGGCGATCTTGGACTCGGTGGCGCTGTTCTCCTCCGTTAGGGACCGCGACGAGGGCCGGGTGAAGAGGCTTTTCTTTAAGGCCTTGACCCGTAAACTCTCGCTGTGGCTGCCACTGGCGTCCGAGCAGCACCAGTCGGGGTCGTTCTCCAGCTTGGGCCCGTGGGCGCCGCTGTGGCCCCGGAAGCCCCTGGGCGAGGTGCTGTCGTCCGACGGGACCTCGCTGGTCAGAGAGTTCAGGTCCACCTGCACGCTCAGCACCTTCTCCGGCTGCTGGATCTTCTGGTCCAGTTTGTTTAACTTGCCCAGAACCTGGGAGATTTCGTCGCGGACACCCGACAGCGATTCAAGCTTGCGTTCAATCTCACCGATCCTCAGCACCAGTTTGCACACGCTGGTTTTCAGCTCCTCCTCCGAGGGGTGCGTCGTGTTTTCGGGCCGGTGGCTCTTTTCCCCTTTGCTCCCGGGAACCTCGCTGGTGATCTTGGCCAGGCGGTTCTCGGGGGAGCTGTCGCAGTCGGACTTGTGCAGCTGGGACAGAGAGCCCGTGCTGTTGTAGCAGGACGACTGGACCAGCCCCGAGTCGTCGAGGAACCGGAAAATGTCACTGATGTCGTCGCTGACGATTTCCGAGTCGTCGTCCGAGTGCTTCCTGGCCAGCGGGTCGCCGTACTTGCCCTGCGCGGAGTCGCACAGGTCCGGAAGTTTCTTGGGCTCGGGCGGGTGCTGCTCGGTCTGGGTCCCCACGCTGCTGGTGTCTGAGCTGAGCTGGGCGCCCACCCCGCCGAGCGATTTCTCCTTGAACTTCTTGCCCGCTTCCCGCGGCTCCAGGTCCAGGGCGGGCGGCTTCTCCTTGGCTTTGAGCCCGCCAGGCTTGGCCGCGTAGCCCACGGGCAGGATCGGCGGTGGCTCCTTGGGCGCCAGGAAAGCGGGGCGCCTCTCGGGAGCTGAGAAGTTGGGGGTCTGGCTCCCAGAAGTGGGGAAGTGGAGCTTCTCCTCCGAGGGCTGCCTGTGGAGAAACGAGCGCTCGAAGTCGGGGACCTCCTCTGTGTTGAGGCTCCAGCTCTTGGCCGGCCACGGGGTCTGTTTGCTGGGCCTCCCCGGGCAGCGCCTGGCATCCGGGACGCCCATCACCGGGGTGGTGGGCCCGAAGTAGGTGGAGGCCTGGAGGTCATCCAGGCTCTCGTGCTTGGCCCGCCGCCTGTCGGGGGCCGGGGAGTACCCGGGGCTCAGGTACTGGCTGTGGTAGGGCATCTCGAAGCTGTGATTAAAGAAAGGCGCTTTGTGCGGCTCCTTTCGCCGCTGCGCCTCCCCGCGGCCCCTGTCCGCTTTGCTGGCGGGCCGGGCCCGGGCCGGGGACGCGGCCAGGAGAGTGTGGAACTCCTCTTTGAAGACGTTCCTCTTCGGCCCCAGGAAGGGCTCGTCGCGGGAGACGAAGGCGTCTTTGAGGGCCTGGCCGAGGGGCAGCGAGTCCTGGTCGGAGGCGGGCTCGCTGTCGAGGTTCATGGGGAAGCAGGTCCTCTGCATCTCGCACGGCGGCGGGCCGGCCACGGCGTAGGCGGCCGCGGCCTGCAGCCGGTCCAGCGAGGCCGCGCGGTGCTTGGCTTCCTTCCTGACCCCCAACAAGAAGTTGGGCTCCGAGGCGGGGACGAACTGCGGGCAGTCGGCCTTCTGGCACTTAGTGGCCGGCCGCGCGGGGTAGCCCCGGCTGAAGGGCCTCTCGCTGAGCTCGCAGTTGAGGGGTTCACGCTGGGCCGCGTTGCAGGGCCCCGGGTCCGGCCTGCACGACTCGAAAGACGCCCCTTTCTTGCGCGCCTTCTGGCCCCCGGCCGGCAGCTTCTCCCCGGCCACCCCCCCGACCTGGGCCAGGTTGAAGATGGCCACGATGTCCGCGGCCACGGCCAGCTTCTTGGCCTGCTGGCCGCTGCCCGCGCAGTTCATCTTGTCCTTGAACAGCGAGGCGGGGAAGCCGGGGTCTAGGCAGGCCGTGTAGAACAGCGCGCTGCGCAGGCGCGCCAGCTGTGCCAGGTCCAGCCGCGCGCACAGCGACGCGCACAGCTCCTGGTACGAGACCGTGCCCTGCTTGTGGTCCAGCTCTTCCAGAATCTTCTCCAGGAAGAGGGATGTTTCCTGCGTGGCCTCCATGATCCTCTGAGACTCCTAGCTGGCTACTGCAGGGACCAGGGCAAAAGATGGGAAGGGAGACGTTAGACACACGCGTGGAAGCCCAGCAATTCCACCCACACCCGAGGCTGAGATCTGAGGACCAGGGATTGAACCCGGCCCCAGGCAGGGGAGTCTTTGAGACTCTCCTTTCCAAACACACGCGCACACACACACACACACACACACACACACACACACACACACAGAGAGGCAGGAAATGGGCTGTGGATCAAGTAATAGAGTGCCAGCCTTGAGAAATTATTAAAAAAAAAAAACAAAAAACACTCAGGGATAATGCCCAGGCCCTGAGGTCAAATCCCAGTACAGGTAGTTCTTGATGTTTCTGCCTATAATGGGGCTAGAAATCAAGTTTCCCAATCTCCGCCTTCCACGTAGCTTAGGATGACAGGTGTGTGCCACTGAGCTCTGCTCTGCCTTAAAAAAGGGGGTCGTGCAAATGTTTCTCTCCTGGCTGGCCTTGAATCAAGATCCTCTGACTCTCAGCCTCCCAAAGTGCAAGAATTACAAATGTGAGCCCCAGGCACCTGGCTTCTGATGTTAAATCTCTTTTCCCTCACATTTTAGCCTGCAATTTTTCTTCTGTTGTTCCTGGGGCTTGAACTCGGGGCTTGGGCACCGTCCCTGAGCTCTTCAGCTCAGAGCTATTATACTACCACTTGAGCAACAGTGCCACTTATGGCTTTTTCTGAGTAGTTTATTGGAGATAAGTCTCATGGACTTTCCTGCCTAGGCTGGCTTTGAACTGCAATCCTCAGCCTCCTGAATAGCTAAGAGTACAGGCATGAGCCACTGGCATCTGGCTAATTGTGGATTTGTGTGTGTGTGTGTGTGTGTGTGTGTGTGTGTGTGTGTGTGTGTGCTGGGGCTTGAACTCAGGGCCTTTCTTAGCTTTTTGTTGTTGTTGTTGTTGTTATTGTTCGAGGCTGTCCCTCTGCCACTTTAACCACAGCTTCACTTCTGGTTCTTTAGTGGTCTTGAGGTCTTCCTTGCCTAAGCTGGCCTTGAACTGTGATCCTCAGATCTCAGCCTCCTGAATAGCTAGGACAACAGGCGTGATCTACCCAGCTAGCCTGCAAATTTTTAAGCACAGAAGAAAGAGAATAATCACACAATCCACCAACTGGATTGCACCATGAACATTTTACTATATTTGCTTGATCCTATATCTGTGGATCAGCAAGCCATCTTATTTTTTTGAAGTAAATTATAGACATCTGTGCATTTCCCTCCCCTTCACATCTCATCATGCATATCATGATCCAAGTGGCAACAGTTTAGCTTTTCTTTTCATATGAAATTGACATATAATGAAGAATACAACTCCTGTGTGTGTGTGTGTGTGTGTGTGTGTGTGTGTGTGTGTGAGTACTAGGGCTTGAACTCAGGGCCTGGATGCTGTCTCTTGGCTTTTATTCACTCAAGGCTGGTGTGCTGCCATACCTCTACTCTGATTTTTGGCTGGTTAATTGGAGAAAAGCCACAAGTAACTAGGATTACAGTCATGAGCTACCAGCGCCTGGCTACAGCCAGGACTGCTGGACTAACCTCACGCTTCACCCAACCATGGACTCCCAGGACAGCCCAGAACACCGCTTCCCCAGGAGACTGTCTCTCCACTCCCATTCTTGATTTGCCTGCGTGAAGAATGATTAATCCCAGATCAAATAAATAAATACGAATAAACCCATGTAGGAAACCCAAGGCTTAGCATCTCCTAAAGTACATAACTGAAATACCAACAAAACTGACGTTAGAGCTGGGCATCTGTGGCCCAGGCCCATCATCCTAGCTATTCAGGAGACCGAGATCTGGAGGATTGCGGTTCAAAGCCAGCCAGAGCAGAGAAATCCTAGAGACTCTTATGAAACACTAGAAAACTGGAAGTGGCGCTGTGTCTCAAGTGGTAGAGCTCAAGCCTTGAGCACAAAAGCTCAGAGACAGTGCCTAGGCCCTGAGTTCAAGCCCCAGGACTGGCACACAAAGAAAAGGCCTCTGCCAAGCCCAGCTCTTCTAATTCCTGATCAATGGAGGATGCTAATGAACCAGCCTGTAGCTTTGGGAGGGGAGGAAACAGACTGTAGGACTCTGTCTCCCCTCTGCCCCATGGCACAGGCCTCCTCTTCTCCACAACACCCATTCTAGAAGGTTAATATGAATGCCTACCCTCTCTCCACCTTCTGCCCCTTTAATGTTCAAGTGTGGATGTTCATCAAAATGGAGCAAGAGCCGGGCACTAGAGCTCACGCCTGTCATCCTAGCTACTCAGGAGACTGAGATCTGAGGATCATGGTTCAAAGCCAGCCTGGGCAGGAAAGTCTGTGAGACTTTTATCTCCAATGAACCAGCAAAATAAAAAAAAAAGCTAGAAGTAGAGTTGTGGCTGAAGTGGTAGAGCACCAGCCTTGAGCAAGGAAACTCAGGGACAGCTCCCAGGCCATAAGTTTGATTCCTAGTTCTCTCTCTCTCTCTCTCTCTCACACACACACACACACACACACACACACACACACACGTACACACACACAGAGCAGAAGAGACATAATATAGGGCTATAATTTCTAGGATTGCTTCTTGAATTACTGAACAAAAAGAAGCTGTCTGCCACTGCATTTCTACCAATTCCTTTAAATGTTGAATCTTCCCTTTCTGCCACGCACAACCCAGCGGGGTAAAAATGCTGAGGACAAATGCTAGAATCATGGAGCTGGGAGCTGGCATTGCAAAAACTCAGTCATCAAATATTCCCCCTAAACCCTGCCCCTCCTCCATGATGCACCTAGTGTTCACACACAGCAGTCTCTGAGCCATCATGCTCCCTTCGGGCCGCCGAAGAAGCATGCTGCTCCAGACTGGGGTTCGCCTGGTCCTGGAGTTTCATCTTATCTTACCTTCCCCCCCTTTCTTTCCAAGATGGAGGTGGCTTCTGTGATATAAAAAATGTGGGTTCATCACTTAATCACAATCAAAAAAAAAAAAAAGAACCTCGGGGAAGGGAGGGAGGGAGGGGATGGTAGGGAGAAAACAATGGAGGGGGTAACAATGTTCAAGAGGAAGTGTACTCATTACCTCACTCATGTAACTGTAACCCTCTGTATAGTATCTTTACAATAAAAAAAAAAAAGAAAAAAAATGTGGGTTCAGTGGAATTAAGGGATCAATCTAGGAATCTAAATTTTCTGATAAACACTGCATCATCTCTGATAAAACTTTAAACTGAAGGAGAGCCCTCCCCCTTCTCCCTCTCCCTCCCCCTTCCTTCCCACTCTCCCCCTTCTCTCTGTCCCTCTCCCTCCCTCTCTAGTTCTGCCTCAGTCTCTCTCCCTCCATCCCCTCTCTGTCTCCCTCCCCCCCCCCCAACCTGTCACTGTCTCTTTCCCTCCCTCCATGTGTCAGTATTGGGACTTGAACTCAAGGCCTGGGGGCTGTGCCTTAGCTTTTTCACTTAAGGGTGGGGCTCTGCCACTTGAGCCACAGCTCCACTCCCAGCATTTGAATGCTTCAAGAGAGATCAGAGTCTGGCTTTGAACCTGGATCCTTAGATCTCAATCTGCTGTGTAACTAGGATGACAGGTGTGAGCCACCAGTGCCCAATAGAAATGCTTTTAAAAAAAAATCTTAACAAGCATAGCTAAGATTGCAAGAGAGCAAGAAGATTCCAGAAGCAGGTGAGCGTCTGGGAGTTACAGAGTGAAGCGGGGAGCTAGATATAGTGCTTCTTCTAATAACAGGGAGTAGAGACAGTCACCATGAAAGAGGGACTCAGACTGCACAGGAAACCCTGAAAGGATAAAACAGAAGAAAAATAATAAAACTTCCAGCATGGGAAGCAAGGGTCCTCGTGGGCCTCTCCCTGGGCCCTATGTTAAAGTGAAATGCTGCCGGTACTAGGGGCACATGCCTGTCATCCCCACTACTCAGGAGGCTGAGATCTGAGGATCGCAGTTCAAAGCCAGCCCAGGCAGGAAAGTCCATGAGATTCTTAGCTCCAATGAACCACTAAAAAGCTGGAAGTGGAGTTATGGCTCGAGTGGAAAGCTCAGGGACAGCGCTCAGGCACTGAGTTCAAGCCCTAGAACAGGCACAAATTAAAAACAGAGCAACTGTATGTATGTATGTATTGTTCATCCATCAGGAAAAATAATCTTGTATCTCTTTTTGAGAACTGGATGGACCTGGAAAAAAAAATTACGTTGAGTAAATCAGGCTCAGAGAGCTAAAGACTGAATATTTTCTTTCATATGTGAAAGTCAGACCTAAAATATAGTAATAAGCTAGGCACTGGTGGGCTCATGCCTGTCATCCCAGCTACTCAGGAGGCTGGGATCTGAGGATCGCAGTTAAAAGCCAGCCCAGGCAAGAAAGCCCATGAGGCTGTCATCTCCAATGAACCACTCAAAGTGTTAAGAGTGCTAGCCTGAAACAAAAGAGCTCAGAGACCATACACAGGCCCTGAGTTCAAACCTCCAGAATTTGCACAATAAAGAGGAGAAGGGGGAAAAAAAGATAATTTAAGAAATGGAGACACCAAAGGATTTTATCTCCTCTGGAGCCTTTCCCCTCACATGCCCCAGCTTCGGGACGAGGCCTGCCTTCCTCTGCTCTTTGCTTTCTCTTGCCCCAGATGGTCACCAAAAGGCCTATGGGTCTCTCCTGAAATGAGTCCTCCACCCACAAACAGACCCACATCTGCCTGCCATTCCATACTGGAGCCTTTCATTCGTTTAGCAGGAGATGAGGGGACTGATGTTAATAAGAGCCCTCATTGCTGGGCACCTGTGGCTCATGCCTGAAACCCCAGCTACCCAGGAGGCTGAGATCTGAGGATCCAGGTTCAAAGCCAACCCAAACAGGAAAATACATGTGATTCTTATTATCTCCAATGAACCACAAAAAGTCACAAGTGGAGCCATGGCTCAAGTGGTAGAGCTCCAGCCTTGTGCAAAAATACTAAGGGACAATGCCAGGGCCCTGAGTTCAAGCCCCA